CCGGGTTAGTTGGTTCGGGTCCGGAAGGATTTCAGAGTGAAATGAGATACTTAGTCTCATAATTGAAAACTTAGGTTAGAAAATTTGACCGGATGCAAATTTAAGGTTTTGTGGTGCCTAGGTAGATTAATTAGTACAAAGGTTGCGCGGCTCAGACCTTTTGGATTGAACAATGCACTGGTGAGTAAAAGAAAGTTTTCGGGTAGGAAAATACATTTTTGCAGCCCACTATTCACCCACAGAATCACTCTGCGGACCGCATAACGGCCACAGAGTGAAGCAGTTGAGGCAAGTTTGGAGATCAGGTTTTGCGGTGCATTATGCGATCTCATACCAGTTCTGCGGTGCATTATGCGATCGCAGAACATGTCTGCGGGCCGCATAATGACCGCATATTGAGGCAGTGTTGCCCAGTTCCGAAGGCTATTTTTGCAACCCATTATGCGGGCCGCAGAAGCATTATGCGGTCGCATATGCGACCGCAGAGTGTGTTTCGGGGCTTAATTTTTCTGGCTTTATAAACCCAACCCCATTCTTATAAAACACTATTGGGGATCATTTTTAAAGGTTTCATCTGATATTTTAGAGAGAGGTGAGAGCATCTTATAGAGAGGAAGTGAAGACCTAGTCATTTGTCTATCAATCCTTGTTTAAGGTTTAAAGATTTCACAAGGATTTTGCTAGGGCTTCAAAGAGATAAGAATTTCTTTCCCTAATTCTTCAATTTCAAGTTTGGAGTAAAAGATGGGTAATTAAGAGTATGATTCTTGGGTGTGAGAGTATTATTTATACATACACATACCAATAAAGTTTGTGGAAAGATTATTGAGTTCAAATGGGTAAAGATTGGGTTGAAAATGGTAGAAATCTTCAAATATTTAAATTGAGGATTTGAGGGTCGAGTTGATGTCGGAATTTGGTGAAATTTATATGGTTGGACTCGTGGTTGGATGGGCGTTCATATTTTATAACTTTTGTCGGGTTCCGAGACGTGGGGCCCACGGGTGATTTTTGGGTGCAATTTTGGATTTTGTTGAAAAATTAGTATTTCTTACGGAATTAATTCTAATAATTTATATCGACTGAATCGTATTAATTGTGACTAGATTCGAGGATTTCTGAGGCCGATTTATGAGGCAAAGGCGTAGCAGAATAAAGAATTACGCTGTGTGAGGTAAGTAACAGTTTTAAATCTGGTCCTGAGGGTATGAAATCTCGGATTATGTGTTATGTGATTAGTCTTGAGGTGACGCACATGCCAGGTGACGGGCATGTGGGCATGCACCATAGGAATTGTGAATTGGTCAAATTCCATGGAACTGTGTAGTTGAATAATATGTTGATAGCCTTACATTCTTTATGTGATAGAGAAAATTGAGCTGAGACTCGTATTAAAAATCATGCTTAGATATATGTTGTGGGTCATTTCTGTGGATGAATTATATGTTCAAATTGTAATCTCACATTCAGTCATGTTCATTTATTTCATATCATATCTCAGTCTCTGTTACTATTTATTAATACATCATATTATCATTTTTGGGCTGATTTTCATGACATCTTGAGCCCGCGAGACTGGAGAGGTTGATGACCGAGTGAGGCCGAGGGAATAATTGTGAGGATATTTATGGGATCGGGTTGCACGCCGCAGAATGTTTCATTAATTTATGCCAGGATTAGCTTGATATAGCGTTTGGGATGAAGGATCCCCTCCGGAGCGCATGTACCTACTAAGTGCGAGTGCTGAGTGATTGAGAAGAATGAGTAACTAAGAGGAAAGAGTGATTGTGAGGTTGGAGTTAATGGGAGGACTGAGTGGTTGTTACTCTGAGAGGATGCATTGATACCATTATTTTTGCATTTCAGTTGTCATATGTCACTGTTTGGGAGAAACTCTAAAAGATATTATTTCTGTTTCGATAAAAAAAATTTGATATGAAATTGATGTGGAGATTTAAATGTTGAACTTGAAAGCACGCCTACCTTTTCATGTTGGAAAGTACTATATTTGGACTTAGCTGTGAAGCTCGTCACTACTTTCAGTTCTTTATTTATTGTTGTTACTTGCTGAGTTTGTTGTACTCATACTACACCCTGCACTTCGTGTGCAGATCCAGGTGAATACGGACACAACGGGTGTTGATCCTTTCCCATAGTTGATTTTCCCAAGATTCAGAGGTAGCTGCCATGTTTCTCAGACCTTGTCTCTCCTTCCCTGCCCTTTTATTTATTGTATTTGGTCTCATATTATTATACATCATGTTTTCCAGACTTTAAATTTATAGATACTCATGTACTCAGTGACACCAGGTTTTGGGAGTGTTGTATCGATATTTGCGAGATTTATTTTTGGTATTGTATTTAAACATTATGTCTTCAAACTTAAAATAATTTGGGATTTATTGAGGTTATTGGCTTTCCTAGTATCGACATAGGCGTCATCATGACATGTGAGATTTTGGGTCGTGACAAAGAGAGTACAAAATTAGAGTAAATACTATAATTAATCCCAAATACCCTAACAGAATAAACACACAAAATCACTCCAAAGAAAGGGTTCACACAAGTGTTTTCCAACACTCAACTATCATACAAAACACTCTTAATAAAGGAGGAAAGGAAGAAACAAGAAATGAAGACAAAAGTTTTGTTGGTGTGTCTAAAATGAACTAATGGCCTTTCGTTTTATAGGCAAAAAAGCCTTGGCCTCTTAGTTGAAAAAGAAAAGATACAACTTGTGCAAATTGATATCCACCACACAATGCAATATATTTTGGGTCCCAAAGAATATTACCAACAAAGTCTATACTTTGCAAATATGCTTATGCTTATGTGATATGGACTCCATTAGCCAAAATATTGGTCATATTACAAATCTCCACCTTGGCCTAATTTTGGCTGATATAGTAAATTTGCTCCACCCTCTCCGCAAAAGCCCCAATGGGCATATGTCAAAGTTTAATGCCATCAAAATCAGACAAGTTGTCTGATACTGAAACTGTAGTAGGGCATATAACAGTGGATCCCAATAAAGTATACAACGAACCAGATCTCTATGGTTTCATAATCACAAGAGCACCTTGAAAACTTTTTAGAACTCAACATTCACTAGTGAATTTACACCCAAGGGATTCTAAAGTGCCCAAAGAGATGAGATTTTTCTTTAGCTCGGGAACATATCTAACATCGGTGAGAGTTCTCACCTTACCATTGTGCATTCTGATCCGAATTGTACCTTTGCCAATAAAGTTACAAGTAACATTGTTAGCCAGCTGGACAACTCCACCTTCAACTGAATCATATGTAGAAAACAAGTCCTTGCTAGGACATATATGATATGAACAACCGGAATCTAAAATCCACTCATTGTCTGATCTGAAACTAGTTTCAGTTGCTAAAAATATAGTTCCCTCAATCTCATCAGTTGCTACACTAGCTTTTGCGGTGTCAGTACTTTTGTGCTCATTTTTTCTTTTTTTATGATTTTTTTTATTTTTCAGTTTATAGCATTCAGAGATAATGTTACATTTCTTATGACAATAGCGACACTCCAAATTATTGTATCTGGATATGGAGTCAGATTTTTCCCTCACAAACAAGCTAACTTCCACTTGTGTTCCACTAGCTTCCCCAGTAATATCACTATTTATTCATTCTTTTGATTTTAAGATATATTTAATATCCTTATAAGAGATATTATCCTTTGCATAAAGCATAGTATCTGTTATATGTTTAAAAGATGAGGGTAGAGAATAAAGCAGTAACACGGCTTGATCCTAATCTTTAATTTCAGCATCTATATTACTCAAATCTATAAGAATGAAATCAAAGGTGTCAAGATGAGAGAGAACAGAGGTATCTTCACCCATACGAATTGTATAAAGTTTCTGTTTTAGGTAAAGTCTATTTTCCACCATCCTCTTCATATATAAGGTTTTCAATTTTTTCCACATGCTTTTGGCTGTGGATTCTACCGAAACTTCACATAAAACCTCATTTGAGAGATTTAAAATGATACATGCTTTTGCCTTTTTGTCTATGACAGCAAACTCCTTGTCCGTCATTTTATCCGGCTTCTTCTCCTTTTCTTGCAATGCCAAATCTAAGCCATCATGAATTAGGATAGATTTCATCTTTAATTGCCACATTCCGAAGTTTGCACTTCGATCAAATTTCTCAACATAAGTCTTTGTTAAAGTTATATTGGCTACTGAAATAAACCTGATTAGATCTGGCTCTGATACCAATTTGTTAGGATCGAGAACTCGGGTATTGCGAAATTTAGCCAAACAATGTTATAATGACAACAAAAAATACAATGCAAGTTGATAACAACGACAGTTAAAGCATATAAAGTAGACACCAATTTAACGTGGTTCAGTCAAAGTGTGACCTATGTCCACAAGCGTTGAGGAGCAATTTACTATAACAATAAGAGTACAAAAGAGAGTATAAAATTAGAGTAAATACTCTAATTAATCCCAAATACCCTAACAGAATAACCTCACAAGATCACTCTAAAGAAAGAGTTCACACAAGTGCTTCCCAACACTCGACTCTCATACAAAGCACTCTTAATAAAGGAGGAAATAAAGAAACAAGAAATGAAGACTCAAGTCTTGTTGGTATGTTTAAGAAAAGATACAACTTGTGCAAATGATATCCACCACACAATGCAATATTTTTTTGTCCCAAAAAATATTACCAACAAGATCTACACTTTACAAATATGTTTATGGTTATGTGATATGGACTTCATTAGCCAAAATAATGTTCATATTACACTTATGTATCAAGCCTCACGAAATGGTGGATAATAAACATGATTTGTTAAATATTTGAACGAGACCAAGGTGTTCACTTTTGATAAATTTAAAGGATCGATAACTTTCAAAAGTATACTTAAGGGACTATTTTAAATTTACTCCAAACATGAGGGAATATTTTTGTCGTTTTCTCCTTCCATGAATATAACTAACGTGAATATTCCAAAAGCCTCTGCAAATCCTGTCTTTCCCCCCGCGTTCAGCATAAGGGAGAAGAAGATAAAATATAGAGAGGCTCTCCAAAATCTTTTATAGAGCTAATTACCTGTTATCACCTTCAAATTATTAGGAGGATTTTATATATTATTATTATTTATTATTATTCTGTCGTTTTCTCCAGCTCACAATACAATTTATCAAGTCCTCTCTCTATTCAGATCTCCTTCTTTCCCTTCGTATCGGTGAACCATGTCGTACGCCTATCTCTTCAAATATATTATCATCGGTGATACCGGTAATTTTCATCTCTTGTTTTTATTTTTGTTCGATTTGATTCCTTATCTTCCTTTTGTTTTTCAATGAGCTTGATTTTTTTTAATGATTTTGCATCTGATTAATAGGTTCTGTGTAATTTGGATATCGGTGATGTTAATTAGATTGTTTAGCACTAGCTGTATTACAGTATTTTTATTTTTTATTTTTTTTATAAATATTTTGCATCTGATTAGTAGTTTCTCTAATTAACAGGTTTTGTATTATTCTGGTAACCAGTGATGTTAATTTAGTGTTTTTGCACTTCCTGTCACGACCCAATTTTACCTATAGGTCGTGATGGCGCCCAACACTGCCAACTTAATAAATTAAGCATATATTGACAAAATTTAAAACCAAGAAAATAATAAAATACCAAATTCTACCAATGTGTGTGCCAAGACCTGGTGTCACAAGTGTATGAACATTTAGTAGATTATACAAAACCTCAAATACTGTCTGAAATAAAAATAGACAGAATGAAAAACACAAGGAGAGACACTAGTAGCTGCAGAACGGCTCAGAAAGTGCAGCTCACCACTATGCCCCTAGTACTTGCCTCAGGTCCTGCACAAAAAGTGCAGCAAGTGTAGTATGAGTACGTAAACAACGTGTACCCAGTAAGTATCAAGCCTAATCTCGAAGTGGTAGAGACGAGAGGGCCGACTTTGACACTCACTAAGGGTCAATAATAATAATTGAAATACAACTAGGATATTTAAATCAGCATGATTTACA